TATTTTTTTTTTGGTCATACGTCTTACATATTACTTACCGAATGTTGTAAAGCTCTTATGCTTTTTTTTTTAATAGTTTTACAAGTTTTTAAATTTTTAGAAATTCGGTTTGGTATGTAATGTGTCTTTTTTGTATTTCATTCTTATATTACAATGCAAAACAAAAAATAGTTGCTTTTGGGTAATTTTGACACCAAATAAAAGCGAATAACTGGTTGTATAGAGTTTATCTATCAAAAGATTTAAAGTGCAAAAAAATAACAACGAGAAAATTAAATAAATACTGAGGATGTCAAAAAACTAAAGAAGATGATGATGAAAGAAAGAAGATTTATTTTTTTATACAAGTTTTTAAATTTTTAGAAATTTGGTCTGGTATGTAATGTGTATTTTTTGTGTTTTATTCTCTTATTACAATGTAAAACAAAATAATAGTTACTTTTGTGTACCTAATTTCGACACCAACAAAAATAGATTTACGTCGACTTGAAATGTTTTAGTTATACGTACTTTGGCCTATTGTAATTATCTTAAGTATTATTAAAAAAAACTTGACCAATTTTAAATCCACTTGAAGAGTTTTGGATTAATTAAAAACTTGAAAACTTAACATCTTAATCTTAACAAAATGAGAATTATTTAATAATAATAAATTCATTAATAAAAATGAGAAATAAAGAAGTGAAATTTGAGAATAATATACGGAAGTAGAATCAAGAAAACCAATCCGGCAACACAAAAAATAAAGAAAAAAAATTATCTAAGAAAAAAAAATATTGGTTGGGACAAAACCTGAAACAGTAAAGATATAACAAAAAATTTAGAGAACAAAAAATAAAAACGAAACGTAAAACAAGAAAATTAGATAAAAAACTACGAATGTCGAAAAAAAAACTGAGGAAGGTGAAGATAATGAAAATGATAGGTAAAGAATTTCGAAAGATCTATTTGGCAATTTCAAATTTTATTTTTTTAATTTATACGTCTTACTTCATGTTGTAAAGCTCTTATCCTATTTTTCTTATTTTTTTAATATCCTTACAAATTTTTTATGTTTTTAGAATTCTGGTGTGAAGTTTAATATGTATTTTTTTATCATAATTTTTATTGCGATGTAAAACAAAATATCAAAGATTATTCGTTTTTTGAAACATTTATTTGCAATTTGTTCAAACAAAAAAGAGAAGCTTCTAGTAAAAATCCTCCGAAACCGTTATTATCACCCTGTATAGTTTATGAAACAGTCTGTTAGCTTATTAATAATTAACAAATTTTTCATTGGCCGATTTTGATTTATTTGACAAAAAAAGACAATTTCAACAAAATTTTTACTACATAAAGGCCTCTACATTTTCAAATAGTATTTTAATTTTTCTTCTACAGGAAAATTCAGACTGTACAATTTTGTCCATAAAAAAATGTTTTTCAAAAATAAGCTTTTATTAAAAAATGTACTAAGAAGTAAAAATATTTTTTTCTGTTTCTGCTTACATAAGTTTTGGGAGTGGTCAACTGAGCAAAGTAGGACAATTAGTCGTAATGTTTATAACCGCTCCCAAAAACTTTTTAGTACATTTTTTAATAAAAGCTTATTTTTAAAAAACATTTTTAATATATTTTTTGACTTTTTAGTCTTTACTTATTGTTTTGTTAAATTTAAGTTTTAATTTTCTTGATTTTTGTGTATTCAATTTTTTTCGTATTTTCTGATTTTTGGATTTTGTTGATTTTTGAAACGTTATTTTTTCATCAAAAGCATCAGTTTTAGAAAACTGTGTTATTTATTTGATTAACTAAAAAACCATTACATTGGAAACATTATTACATCCTAGTTTATCGTTTGATGAAAAAAATAAACCAAATGACAAAACTACTAAAAATTTAGTAGCTCCTTCAAATCTTGGAATCAAAAAATCATTATTTTCCCCAAAACTGAAAAATTTTTAGGTTTGGTGAACCACGTGTGCCTTTACCCCCGCGGCAAGGGCGTGGGGGGCACCACCCTAATCAACGGCTTGGTTTACGCCCGCGGTCACAAAACCGACTTCGACAAATGGGGCGAAATGGTCGGAAACAAACGCTGGTCATATAACAAAGTCCTCAAATACTTTAAAAAATCGGAAGACTTTGTTTATCGAGATTACCAAATACCTTACGAACCAGAATACCACGGAACTGGGGGCTATTTACGCGTCGAAAACTTCCTCTACAGAAGCCCCCAACTCGACGCATTCCTCGCAGCAAACCAAGAGTTGAATTTGGGCGTCGTTGATTACAACGCAAACAAATTGGGGGCTTCGGCCTCCCAACTCAACACCCACAACGGGGAGCGATTCGACGGGGGGAAAGCCTTCATCCACCCTGTTCTAAAACGTCCAAATTTGAAAGTCCTCACTGGGAGTTATGTCACAAAAATTGTGATTGATAAAACGACGAAGGTTGCAATTGGTGTTGAGTTTACACATAATGGGGGCTATTATTTCGTCGAAGCGAAAAAAGAAGTGATTTTGAGTGCGGGAGTTTTTGGGTCGGCACAAATTCTCATGTTGTCGGGAGTTGGCCCCAGGAAACACCTCGAAGAAGTTGGGATTGAAGTTATTGAGGATTTGGAAGTTGGGACTACTCTACGTGACAATCCCACATTTTTTGGGTTAAATTTTGGGAGTAATTACACCGAACCGGTTAAACCTTTGGAGGACTATGTTGTGGAGTATTTGGACGGGGTTGGGCCTTTAACCATTTCTGGGAACAACCAAGGAGTGGGTTTTTATGAATCGAGTTACACCAAAGGTACTGGAATTCCTGAAATCGAGCTCATGTTTATTCCTGCTAATGCTACTAGTTTGCTATCACAGAGAAGTTTCGGTTTAACCGATGAAACGTATGAAGATGTCTGGAAATATGCAAACATCCCCCAAACTTTCATTTTTTACGTCGTTGATTTACACTCAAAATCTGTTGGTAGTGTGAGACTAAAAAGCAAAAACCCTTTTGAGTACCCTTTAATCGACTCAAGATTCCTCTCAGATCCTGAAAATCGGGACATTAACACGTTATATGAAGGAATCCAACTAGCCTTAAAACTAGCACAAACGAGGCCTTTCCAGGCTATTAACGCAACCTTGCAAGGAGGGCCCTTAAGGGCTTGCAAAAAACACCCTTACTTGTCTAAACCCTACTGGTACTGTGCTCTTCGACAACTTACCATAAACCTGTACCATCCTTTGGGGACTTGTCCCATGGGTAAAAGCCCGGAAAAAGGGGCTGTTGTTGACGCAAATTTGCGTGTTTTTGGGATTAAAAATTTACGAGTGGCTGATGCAAGTGTTTTTCCGTTTGCGCTAGCAGGACATCCGAATGCACCCACGGTTATGGTTGGGGAACAACTAGGGGATTTAGTTAAATGTGAACATAAAAATGATATAATAGCCTATAGTTATTATTAATTGTTTAAATAATATCAGTGTCTTATAATTTTTAATTAAAGCGTGGATGTAGATTAAGAGTTTTTAAAGTGAACCACAATTTGTTTTTTCTAAAGTGTAAGAATAAACATCCCAATAACGAAAGGAAAGTAAAATATTACAATAGAACTGTAGGATAGTTAAATCCAGATTTTTTTATTATTGTTAATATTTTTCAGTAGTATATTTTGATTTCGAAGTGTGTATCCATTTTTCGTAAAACCAAAATTTGGATGAACAAATATTTGGCAAAAAAAATCATGTTTGGTTTATAATAAGTTAATAACTGTTTTTTATTGCGCCAATTCTTTTTTTAAACCGGAAAACACGGCTTGAATTTGCTTTTAAAAAGTTTTATACAATGCTAATGTTATCCACATTATAAAGGTGTTCCAAAAAACATTGAAAAGCTTTGAGGAGTAATTCCTCCTAGATCAATACAGGAAAAAAAGTTCTTATCCACCTAAGCTCGGAAATGCTTTCTAAGCGAGTTAAAGCGAAAATTAAAAATAATAATAAACTCGTTTTTCTCGTACAAATTGAAAAGAAAAAAAAAAAGAAAATCATCCAATAAAGTTAAAAACTTCTTTCAAAGCAAAATTCTTCGCCTTAAATAGATTGGCCCCAATGCCTCCACCCCCAAAAGTACACAATTTTTGATATATTCAATTGATTCAGCGCCAAAAAATTACACCAAAATAATTGAAATAAAAATACCGTCCCTTTTTTTCTTATTTTGACATAGGAAACTAGCACTCAAAATCTTTTAACTTTTTTTCCGGACATCCTGTGTAGATAACAAGATAACAGTATTAACATAATTACAAGTAAGGATTATTTATAGATAATTATTCATTCGCAAGCAATAAATATTATTCTCAAGTGATAATTGCACGATAATACTGCAAAAACCTACAATAGGTAGTTCGTAAAATAGTACTTTTCGGGAAATTTTTTAATGGTTTTTGTTATTCTATTTTGTTTTTCCGTTTTTCATATTACTTCAAAATTAAGCTCTTTAGTGAAAAACTCCTTGAAAAAAGATTTCTTATTATCTCCAAAACTTCAAAACGACAAAATATTTTACATAAACCTTTTACTATTCCAAAAAACTTCTTAAATTGTTTGATGATTTTTGAAAAATACCTCAAGGAATAATGGTCATATTTACATTTAAAAAATCCATTTTAAAGCTTCAAGTTTCTAGTCTTGAAATCTATTGGCAAAAACTTTTCTGAGTTACGGTTATTACGTAATCCTAAGAATAAGCGCGAGAAAAAAAAAATTATTCTTTTTTTTTGGTCCACAAACTTGGAGAAAATTTTATTAATTAAATCAATACATAAGCCGGATAGCTTGTTCATTCTGCTTTAATTTGCTTTTTTTATGTTTTCTGTACGTTGATTTGTCGCTGAGATATTTGACTTTTAATGAAAAAAGGATCTTTCAAAAATTTCAAAAACTGGAATAAATTTTCTGCAAGATCTTTTTACGGTTTTTTGTAAAAAAAATTACGTGCAACAATGATTTAAAGAAAAGGGAAAAAGCAACTTTTTTTGTTGTTGTAGTAAATCTACCGCGTATTCAGGAATATTGATGGGGACTCCAAATATGACATTAGGTTTTTTTATAGCCTAATGTTGTACGCCCAATAGCTCTAAACTGTTTTTTCAGACCGATTGATCAAAGTTTTACAAATGAATTAATTGTTTATGAACATTGTATAATCTTCATCAAAATGAAAAAAGCAATTTATTTTTATTGTTTTCCACAATTTTGCATGTTATATATGAAAAAAAAAAAAAAAAATGAGCAAATTAAAAAAAAATTTTGATATTTTTAAAAATGTAGAAAGTCAAAAACCAATACTGACTAATTTTTGAGACCATTTATTTAGTTTTGCATACCCTAATTTTACTCATCTCAAATTAATTGCATTAATGAAAAACTATATTCAGCACTAGATTTACGAACATTCATGCAAATTTTCAAAAAAAAGTCTTTTTTTTAATTGTTTCTGATTTTTTTTCAAGTTTATCAGTAGTGTATTATTTTTCAAAATTCAACAATTTGAAGCATTTTGTATCTTTGAACATGTACTATTTGTTTACACTTTTTATTACATATTTTATTTATTGATTTTGTTCCTTCGTACTATACAAAAAATTAATTTTAATTTTTGTAAATATTAAATACAATAAATTTAGCAAACATAGGAAAAAAGAAATCGTTTTTTCGCGTAATTGTTCAAGTTCTAAAATAAACTGTGCATTTTGTGTTACACAATTTAATAAAAAAACGTAATGTACAACTACCACAAGTTCTATACCACAAAATTGGGCAAAAAGTTATTCTAATCTCTTCTTATTTATGCTGATTAAAATTGAAAAAAAAAGGTCGAGTAGCACATTTTATTGTTGAATCCACGATACAATTACGTCAAATTACACCACACCAATATTTTTAAACATTTCGCCCCCTAAAAGACTGTCCAGCGCCTTTTGAACGGAAGGATCTTTTAGAAGTGGCGGTGCAACATCATTCGATGGTGTCGGCTCTTGAGGTGGCGGTTGGGTTTCAGTGGAAGCTTTATTTAATATATTCATGATGCGACTTTGAAGTTCAGCTTGTTTGCTGTTGGATTCTTGTGACTCTTGATCAACTCCTTCACTTATTTCATGCTGGTGTTGGATCTCGCGCCTCTCTTGCAAATACTTTACCAATCTGTCGTACTGGGCTGTTGTTAACTGTCTGTTTTCAGCCAGCAAATTTAACAACAACTGAAAAAATCGCATCATAAAATTGCATAAATATTGTGATTTAGCTCCATAATGCATTAAAATAGTTGAATAAATTTATTGAATTGGGTAAATCGGCTTGCGAACTCTTGGGGGTTGCTGCAGCTGTCAAAAAAAATCACAGGACCGTATTCCAAGAAATTATTATACAGGGTGGCCTAGCGAGTTGAAAAAGTCCATTAGTGACTTTTAAATGGTAAAATTTGAATAATTTAAACAATAATGTCATTAATAGATACTAATCTAGTGTTAAAAAAAATCTAAAATTAATTTCAACCATACAGCATGTACCAAAAATAAGTTACGATACAAACTTGTGTTTTTTTAAATGAAACACATTTTTGGATATAGCTTTTTAAAACAATGTTTTTACGCTAAACTTTTATTAGTCGATTTCGCTTAGTTTTAGAAAAAAAAACTTTTTTGACGAAAACATGCACGAAAACATTTATTACACAAAAACTAAGACAGCTAGAACAAAGTTTTTCTTACTTCTGCAAAGAAGAAAGTACAGAATTTAAAGCTGTAGCAATTTTTTAGTGTTTTGCATTTGTAAAGATTAATAAATTAAGAAGTTTGTTTAAAGTTAAATAACTTAAAAAATTTAAATGGAACACCCTACTTTTTATTTTTGCATCTAATAGATTGTTAAATTGTCTATCTAAAAAAATTAACTTTTAATG